CCTACCTCTCCAAATTTTTAAACTAGGACATTTTTTTGCCTGAAAAGGATAATTTATCCCTGGTTGGCTTCTTGAATGAGTCGGGCATAACAGAAGGAGGGGAAAATTCCCACCAAAATCCGTCCGGGGTTTACAGAGTTGAGATTCTTGAGTGAACTGCCAAGTAGGGCAGCATTCCAGGCTGAGAGCTGCAACTCTCCCTTATTCCTCCAGAGACACTCCTACATTGGCAGGAGGATTGACACCAAGCAGCAAAACAGGCCTGCAAAAGAAAAAAAAAAAAGAAAAACAGCGGAATAATCTGCAAGTGCATTCATGAGAAGCGTCCTCGCCTGCTTGCGATGGTTAAATCAGGTGTGGGCTTTCTGTACGTGAGCACAACGAGACAAACACCACGCAAAAATGACTCAGAGGGTATTCGGAGAGATTTATTTGTCATCACAGCAACGCAGGGATGAAGTTAATTACAGCTTAATTTAATCTTTAAATGCAGGGAACAGGAGCTGCTCGTGAGAATAGTTCAAACTTTCAGTCTAGTGTATTAGCAGCTGATGCCAATTACAATCAGGGATTTCACACAGGCGTCCATAATGTTCGCTTACTTACAGTTGATTGTATTATTTCAAGAAATTCAAAAAACTTGCAACATGCTTTAGGGTGAACACACTGATTTTAAGCACTGAGCTCAAGAGAAACACGTGACTTTAAAACTTTCGTAATGCTCCCAGATAATTAAAAAAAAGTGAAACAATGGTCTATTACAGTGAACAAAAGTGTAAAGAAACTGTGGGAACTGTGAAATACACCAGAAAGAATGAAGAAGAATATTACAAACTTTAAGACTTTTTCTTCTCTAAGCAATCCAAGAGTTGGAGGTAAAGCAGGCCTTTGCTTTTTCAAAGTACGTACAGTCTGTCGAGTAGCAGCAGGCTGGAGTTGGTGGAGTGAGAGTGAAAAGGTTGCTCTGTGGGCAGCAGCCTGCACTGTGTGGGATGAACTGCATACTTCTGAGCATATAGTCTCGTGATCGTCAGAGACGACGATGCGGGTTAGCCTCACTTCTTCAACTTTTGCCCCGCGGTTCGGCTGGACTGCGGCTGCTCATAATATGGACTGGCTTGTCAGGATCTGAAGATAAATTACATCCCCACGTGACGCCCAATGTTAGTCACACAATGGCTCATGAGGGCCTCTTTCTTTACAGCAATGTATCCCCGGCTCTTGTATTACGCGCCTTCCATAACAAGTACTGAATAAGACAGAGTACATTGTCTTCTTTCCTGGATCCCCTTTTCTCAGAATTTCCTTTGAATTTGCATGAGGGACCTCCCTTTGCTTTTCAGAGCGACAAAGAGCTCTATCAGGCATACAGCAGTAGTTTGGCAGTCCTCTTTCCCCCCTCAAACAGCCTCCATGTTGTCAAATACACTCAAATCAGTTCCAGCCAAGATTCATACTAAAAAAAACACCATGATGCATTTTATTTGTCGGTGCATCTGTCTCCTTCCGCACATAATTACAGCCCGACGGAGGCCTTGACGGAACACAATAGTTCATAAATATTGATTTTTATGGTAAGCAGTTGTCTCATTATGACGATGAAATTAAAATGTGGGACAAATACGCGTATCCATGGGTGTATAAATTGAATATTTAAATCCTCTCCGCACAGTTCTCCTCAACAGGATTGGAAGCCACTCCACCTGACAGGAGTTACAGTTCCGTTTTAAGCAGGGTTGCTGCCTTTGATGCCTCTGCTGCAGTGAGTGGTATGCCAACCCTCCTCCCCCCCCCCCCCCACACCCACCCACCCACCTCCCATAGCTAAGCCTTGTTCTCAGTCAGTGCCAGCCTCCAATATCTGAGCTCATCCCACCCGCTCCGCAAGATCTAGCGCCAGCCCTGCCATGCACTGCACTTGAGAGTGGGTGGCATCACACGGCCCTTCAGCCTGCCTTCTGGGGTTTGGCATGGAGGAAGGAAGACATGAACGCAGGCCTCCGTGTGATTAGGACCACTGCTGCAGCAGCAGCTGACCACGTCTCTTCCTCTTTTTTTTTTCTTTCTGTAGAGTATTTCCACTGATTCTCAAAGTGAGCAATGCCCACACACCTCAGTGGAGCATAGACCCTTTTCCAGCCTCCCACGCTCTAGACTTTGAGTGAGTCTAGGTTGGGTGCACCAATCAGCAGCGGGTAGCACCACCCAACCACCCCCTCATCCTCGTCTTCCTATCCTCGCACATTGTCCTGTGCTTTCGCCGACATAATGCAATTAAAAATAACTCGTGCTCCAGGTTCTCGTCATCGCGTTGTAAATACCAAAGTTTGTGCCGCGTACAGAATTTCACCTGGAAAATTGGACGCACAGGAGCTGATAATCCAAAGAAAAGGTGTGACTGAAGAGATAAATCAGTCAAACTGAAACCACCTCCTCCTCCTCCCCCGCATCCTGTCTGCGGGGCGATACCAGAGGAGATGCTCATATAACTGTCTGTACTTTGCCCCGCATCTGCAGCAATATAACTCACTATAAAGGAGAAAATGTGTCATCTGGAGAATAAACATGTGATTGAAAGACACGCAACCCAGAGAGAGAATACGTGCGTCACCCACACAGCCAGCAAAACCTGAGAGCCTTCTTGTAAGACGGAGAGAAATGTGTGAATTATCTCAGTCAGTGGTCTCCAGAAGGACTCCATTAAGACTCTACTGTTGCATGACCAGAAGTTCCACAACCTCGCCAAGGAAAGATTTGTGCATTTAGGAGCTTGTTTTTTTCTTTTCTTGATCGTAGCTCCCTGCCAACATTCAAAGCATAAGATAATCAAAAAATATGATTTAAATATAAACCCATAAAAAAAAAAGAAAATCCAGCTATGCAGAAGTCCCTCATGCTGCCACACAATTAGATGATGAAAAACAAGCTCTGGGAACATGCCGGCTGCGATGTCCCACCATTGTGTGTTGGTGCCAGGGGTGGCAGCTTGTCTGTTTGTGTGGCGTGGTGTGCTTGGTAGCTCCAACCTGCCTGGAGACAGGAGGTGTACAGCTTGAGCAGGGAGAACACCAGGCTCCTCATCAAGAATTTTAATGCCTACGTTCTTCCTCTTTCCTTCCTGTCTCGCTCCACATCGCACGGTTCGCCGCGAGCAGGAAAGGCCACGCCTGTGATCTCGACTGGTGTCGGCGGGCGAGCTCGCCTTAAGAGAGGGGATAAAGAGACAACGGCGGTGATTTTGCGCAACAGCGAAAGCAGATGGAGCGAGGAACTCTGCCGTTTGCGTGTCGGGAGGAGTTAAAAGTGCACTTTACGCAAGGGGGAGGCTGCAGTTTGTAGTGAATCATCCATGCCTCTGAAGTTGTAAGTGCGCTGTGTATGTACAGGAAACTTCACACAGTTTATCAGTCGTGTTTGGCCTGAAATACAACAAGGAAGGAAGGAGTCCCCAGCTTTCGGTGCCCCACCCACTGTTGATACCCCAGCAGTTACTGTAAATATTTGCATGGGTGAAATGAGGGAACAAGGTGTACTTCCTGTTGCATGAATAATACCGAAGCACATGGCAGGCTGGTGAGAAAAGCCTGTCTAGCTGCAGAATATAACTCTAAAAGCCTACTTTCATGTTGAACAGTGACAAATGAGGAAGTTCCTAAGTGGAGAATGTCACAACTCTCACATTAAAGAGAAACTATATCACATTTTAACACAAGATAAACACATTCTACCTAAATTAAAAGAAATTTACAAGCGAAAAGATCCACTCATGTTCAGTTTTATACACCAAGGGCCTCGATAACTTTACTTGGCATCAGTGTTAGCTTACAGAGGCTAATGTTTGCAAATGTAGTTCCTAGTGCCTGGGTAATATAGGACTACAGTCAGCTGGATTAGATTAGCTTAGCTTAGCTTAGCATAAAGTCTTGGAAACAAGGGAAAAAGCTTGCGTTGTTTGTCCTAAAGGTAACCAAATAGCACTATTAGCGTCTTCCAGTTCCGCTTTAATTTTTGGCTGGGAACTGCACCTTGGTTTAGTCACTTGTTTTTTGTGCAGCTTCGACAAAACAAAGCCATAAAATGATAAATTGTTAGCTTTAGAGGAACTGGAGCTACAGCCAGGCTAGTTGTTTCTCTAATCTTTAGCTGTGTCTCCATTCAGAGGCTGTATTCTTCTAGATATATGTCCTTCTTTTCCTGGTCTGAGAAGATGCAATGGGGGAGCCTAACTTATCCCAGAGTTCATTATGCCCTGGTTGGATTTTTGACAATATGGCCGACTCATCTGCAACTTTGGCAGTGAAAGAATACATTCAAATGTAAGTATTGGGTAATCTCATTTCCTCCAGTACATATAAAACTACAAATGCTAAATTTCTGGCTCTATCTTGTCAAAGTGACTAAAGGCTTTTGTTCCAAATGTCAGCTTTGGCTGTCAAATTTTCTATGTGAGCAGCGCTCCAAAATGCAAGGGTAAGAACAGCAACAGCTGGTGACGCAAATAGGAAATTTGTAGTCAAGAACCGTCTAATTTAATAATGCAACCCTCGAGAACGTGACTTTTGTGGACCTTCAAGAGAGGCCTTCCCTAAATGAAGGCACAGCTGTTATGCTAAAGCTAAGCCAAGTGTCTGCTGGCAATAGCTTTACAAGCTATTTGGCGTACAGAACGAGAGTTTTCTCAATTTGACATTTTGGGAAATTAATGTTTTCCCTTTCACATTTTTTTTTAGCATTCATCGTGTTAATTGCCTTTAACTGTGGTCACTGTGGGTCAACACAACAAAAAAGCAAAGTATACCAAAACTCAGGTGTTAATGGCTCCTGAAAGATATCTGGAACTCCCAACGAGTCAGTCAGAACTGATGAAGCCTCTTGGATGAGAGGTGGAACGTCTTCAAGGAACTCAAGCAAATCCAGTTACTACGATTAATCTACCAGAATAACCATGACCTGGACGACTGAGAATCTTCACAGACACAAAGCATACCAAGAACAAATTGTGGCTGCTTATTTTATGAATTTATTTCCAAATGTAAACTTCACTATTTCATGCATACAAGTTATGACAACATACATTATTCAACAATCTGTTATTTTTCATATTTGCATAGGACATGGTCACAATATATTGTCTAACATGTAAAAAATAATGCCATAAAAAGGTACAGCAGAGCAGCTAAGACCAGCACATTGAATGTGTGTAGAATCCAAGAAACTGTACAACTGTAATACTTGAATGTAGTGATTTTGGTTTGCTGAGAGAAGAAACAAAATGACACCTGAAAAGTTAAGAGTGAGGTCATTGGAGAATGTACTGGCCATAGCTGAGTCGAGAGTTATTTACAGAATAGATTATACTGGTGCTAAGAGGGGAAGCAGCACCATGGAGTCACTACAACAGGCAACTGATGGTGAGGGGCAGAGGAGAAACACACAGAGGTATCAAGAGAGCAACATTACACTGAGGAGGTACATTGAAGACAAACAGGTACAGGTAACAGAACCAAAAGGCAGGTGAGAGGCTCTCTCTTTGTAATCAAAGTGAGGTCACTGACAGCACTGTACGCCGCATAACCTGGAACACGCTAATCCTTTAAGGGCAAAACATACCCGATGCTGGAGCAAAAGACTGTTATCTTTCTGCAGTAGGGACCGAATGCGACGCGGCGTCGGTTCGGGGCAGCGGAGCGAGGCCACACAGTCGGTGAAGGGTACCGACAGATGTGGTCCGCCGCTCTGCCACCACTGAGTTTCTTTTACCTCTCTTTCAGTCTGTTTTACTCTTTTGTTTGCTTCGATGATTAAATGGGTTTTTTTGTTCATTCAAGTTATTTTTGAAAAAGTAAAAACAATAAAGTCGCTTTACTGGAGATGTAGAAAAAAAGGTCCATATCAAGCACAACATCCAAATGATCAACAACTTACAGCATGTAAAATTGAACCCAGCTGTACAAACGGCGCTGGATTCAAAATTACTGCAACATTCATCTTTCCCTTCAAAGCCTTTGGTAACAACAATCAAGAAACCACCGTATACTTTTATGGCTGACCCCTACCTTTAAAAGCCTCAGGCCTTTTGTCATGAGGGAAGACTTGCTCTTGTCTGTCCTTAACTTTTAAATATAGCAGGTATCCATTCAGATTGGGTTAAGCCTACACAAAGAGCCTAAAGAATCTGCGACAATGAGAAACGTACCTTGTGCACAACTCACAACGTGTAAAACCTCACAGTCAAGACAGACTTCTATTCATAACCTACAAAAATGCATTGGGTCGATGTAAGCAGCACATTTATAGCAAATGCAATTTTCAAATCCTTTGGAATGGTTGGGCATCTATTCTCATTAAGACTGTTTATGTCCAAAAAAAATAAAAATAAAATACCTGCAATAAGCCATTATACACTGCTTGTATCGAACAGCAAAAAAAAAAAAAAAAACAGAAGAAAAAAATTAAATAAGAACCAAATGAAAAAACAAAGCTACACAATCAAAAAATGTTTACATAAAGCAGAAAAAAGAACTTAACTTAGAACACTCGCATATCAAATATGCAGAGTTGCTTCATTAAAATCTTGTACATAACATAAAGACATGTCACACTTTATAAAAACTGTACAAGTTTGTTTAATGTCTGATAGTAGCTAGGTCTGTCACCCTCAACATTTGTATCCTCTATATGAAGTTACCATTATAGATTTGGCACACAACTGCATCGATCATGCGTGTACGTTTTGAAATCAGCGATGAAGATTTCCATTGAGACAGTCTGATCAGTGATACATCGATGTCATTAATATGAACTCCTTAAATAAAATTGTTAGTCGTTTACATACTAGGCAACAATTAATTCACTTTTATATATACTTTTTTTTTTTTTGTACAATTAGAAGAAAAATATTAACCGGTACACTGTTAGTATCTCGCAGGAACCTTGCATTTCCATTTTTGCTTTTTCTCTGACAACTATCTGTAATCACACTGGAATCATAAAATCGGATGAAAAAAAAAAAAAAGAATAGTAATTTACAGCGGACATCCTCCCTCACATAGAAAATGTTTGAACCAAGACAATGTGGAGCTCAGCGGGAGAGGGATGTCTTTTGTATTTTTGTAACATAGAATAATAAAAAATAAGGTTTTTTTATATTTCTTGGAAATATTTCTTTCTTTTTTTTTTTTTTTTATCTACAAGGACGTGCAGGATCTGGCAATATGGGATGATTATATAAAACGTAGCCCAGTGTTTTGTTTAGTTTTTTTTGTCTTTTACAGAAAAAAAGTCTCTCTTTCTTTACTTCCTCATTCAAGTAGGGACAAATAAAACCACCAAATATTTGTGCTACTCATCAAGCAAAACGTAAGCTACATGATGGATGTTTTTGAAAAAGATATGAAGGTACAACAAAATATTTCAAGAGGTATGATTTTTGAAAAATATACAACCTTAAACATTTCAAATGAGACGGAAAAAAAAAGCTATAATAAAAAATATGACTACATTGCTAACTCACAATGCTGTGGTCTCTATTTTTATGGAAAAAGAATCTAAATAATAAAGAAAATTAGTCACTCAATCTGAAATTGACACACATAGAGGTCAGGAAGTTTCCATACTTATCATCACCCAGAACAAACCCCCCCCAAAACGTTCTTTATATTTTCTGACTTAGACGAGTTTTTGGATGGCAGGCTAACTGGAATAGCCTGCATCCTGACATCAACAGAGTATTAAATGTTCCTGATTAAAGGAGTGAACCCCATCAATGGAGCGAAAATTCTGGTTTTAACCAAAATGATGCTTTAAATTCAAAAGAACTGCTGAAATGACCTGAAGACAATGATGGAAAAAAAAGAAAAGCATAAAATAAACCAGATAAAAGAGCAGACTGTACACCTTTCTTCAGAGAGGTTCATAATTATTTGACAACAAAAGCAAGTACAGTAAAAATGGACATGTACAAAACTGTGTTCAATGGCCTTTTGTGTTGAATTATTCAAGTACATTTGGTACAGTGAGAATAAAAGTTTTGAGACGCTCTGCCTGTGGACGCCTACATGTCACTGGTGCAGTCTGGATGGATGGATAGACTGGGGGGGGGGATGTTTACACAGTCGCTTGGTTTTCAGATGGTTGGAGCTTCTTTTTGCCTTTCTGTAAGTCCACTGACATTAAGGGTCAATGGTGTTTAAAGGGGCATTTCACTGAAAACGGCTCCGGTGTGGTTGATAGTAGGACTGTGAGATGTTATGAAGACACGATAGGCAGGAGCTGGGCCTGTACTGAGGCGTTCCTGTGTTTCCAGTGTGGTCGGACACTGACCAGCAGTGAACACTAAGCACCCAGGAACATCGAGGGAGGAGGGGGGGGGAGGCTGGCAGACATATATCTGTGCGGCAACTGATGTTATAACAAAATACACAAACTGTCCCATATCTGCTTGGCAGATGTTGACCCTGAGGAAAATGTGCAGATTATGGATCAAGAACTGATTAATGAAACTTGCTTGAGGGCGAGCTACTCAGAAACTTGTTTTGTTTTTTTTTTTCTTTTTTTTTTTTGCAAGTGAAAGTTACACTACAAACCAGGTCAAAAATTGACGATAACAAAAAAAATGTCATGGATAGAAAAAAAAGCTGTTCAACAGCAAATTGAAGAATTATTTTTTTTCTTAAGAAATGGTAAATGTAAAACCCTCTCAGCACTTCTGTCACTGAGAGTTGCTGATCAGTGGCATTCAAAGTGTCATCTTGCAGCCTGGAAACTATTTTAACATCATACAAAGGATTGGGGGTTTTATTTTTTTAATTTTTTCCTTTTTTTTTTTAATGTGGTGTTTTGAGGAAACTACTGCATTCGATCTAAATAAGGGATGTTTTCTTTCTGGAGAATGTGACAGAGCTGATTCATCACAACTTTAAAGAGAGATGGCTGCTGTGGAGAACGGGGGGACAAGGCCTGCCATTCATGAACTTACACCTGCCAGACCGCCTCAAAAAAAAAAAACCATCTACGCTTTCAGGGCGAAGTTAACATGCATATAGTGTCAAGCACAGGACTGCGGGGCGAGAGCCGGCGGAGCTGTTGGTAGGATGGAGCGAGCACATGCAACTCAGGATGACAACAGCCCGGAGGGGTCTGACAGGACCGAACTACATGGATGACACTATTTCCAAAATGTGGTGCTGAAGCATTAAAAAGGAAAATGTAGGCATAACACAGACTGGCTGGGGGCTGCAGCAGTTTTGATAGTGGTGCCCGTTTCCATGGAAGGTTTACTGTGCCTTTTGCCTGACTTATTGAGGCATGTCTGTCTAGAAACACAAGTCAGCTTTCTCACGGGACATCTGAGCTTCACAGGCAGGACGACGTGAGGCTGGTGAGCACTGCGCTTTGCTGATATGTTCGTTTTGGTTCAAATGTTTTTACAACAGTTTAAAAGCCCCCACCACCCCACCACCCTCGTTGAGAGAAAGAAGTTTGAAAGCAGCTGTTTGAAAGCTCAGGTTTATCAATGTGGAGCGACGTAGTTTTTCCTTGGCATTGTGACGTCGGACTCTTCCAGCGGTAGCAAAAGGATTTCTGTCTGTGCTTAGGATGGAGTCGGGCACATCCCACCCACACTCGATGCAACTGTTGCTCAAACACTTCTCTTTCTACCGTTATCCTACAGTTTGGATCAACACGCTAATTACAGACATTTTTTGTTGTTTTCTCTGCTGGCTGTTTTCTACCGTTGGAGGGAGGAGGGGAGACGGGAGGAAGGAGGAGGAAATGGGGGTGTCTGCGACTGGGTGTCTCCTCCTTTGTGCTGTTCAGCTCATGATAAACCTCTCCTCTTTTATCAGGACCTGCCCTCTCTTGCCTGTTTATTGCAGATAGCTGCTTTGTTCGCTGTGCGCTCCACGTTGTTGTGGCCCGGCCCTGCTCGGCTCTGCCTAAAACACTCTGGCCTACATTTGAACCCCCCCTCACACACACAAGTTAGGCAACCTCATGCAATCTGGCAGGCTCGGAGCTTCACCGCTCTCTGACAGGACAGGTAGAGCCAGATGAGGAAAGACTCCTTGGGGGAATGGCATGTTAGCACTCCTCCTGCAGGCTGTGAATAGCTTCTTTTGGGTGCAGCTGTTTCCTCCAGGGAAGCCACAAAAAGGCAGAGCCAGGAGGAGGGAAGCGAGCGGGCGGGCGGGCGGGCGTCTGGCTCTACCTGCGATACTGCCAACCAGCAGGGCCTCGGTGAAGGGCAGCTTACAGGACTCGATAAAAAAAGCTTTCATTCACTCTTGTCTTTGGTACTTTTTTCCTATGTGCTTGAGAGATGGATGAACCTTGTTTCGTCCCTTTGTGTCCATTTTGAAATACGGGCTGATGAGACAGATTTTGTTAAGCAAGAACAGCTGCTTTGAAACTTAACTGTCTCTATTTAAAGGTTTTCAAAGTTTCTCCAACTTTAGAATTATAAAAAAAAAAAAAACGGTTAACCCAATAAATTCCCAATCCTCCCACAGTGCAGATCCACATGGCTTAAACTGCACACAACTATTTAATGCAGCACACATTGAACCCAGTGTAATGTAATATTAACATTGCAGCGGAGGAACAGATGGATTTCGTTTTTTTTTTTTTTCCAGAGATGGGGGATCTGCTGATTGTTTTCATACTTTGTACACAGCAATTACATTACATATGAATCCACTGAACACGACAGAGAACAGAACTTGAGTTTTGTGTGTGTGTGTGTGTGTGTGTGTGTATGATTGACCAGAAGACTGTAGGGCTTGTTTCCTCGAAAGTAAAAGCCGACAAAAAAACAAAAACAAAGAGTGCAAATTGTGTTGAGTGTAAGGCTGCTATATATGTACTGTATGTCTCTCTTCACCGTGTTCATTCTTTCAAGCTAACAAGGCCATCCCTGAGCAGGGCGTAAAATTCAACCCCTGTTGAATTTCAGAGTAAAGTGATGAGTATATTGTGCAGTCTGTGTGAGTACGGTTAAGTACTGTGGTATTACAGAAATAGCAACTGTCTTCAATCCTGAGGTGTGTGTGTGTGAACCCCTTTCTCCTAACCCGTTCAAAAAAAAAATTCAGAAAAACAAAACGAAACAAAACAAAAAAATCCCAAAACATTTTGATAAGACTTGTCAGGGTGTCTGTTTTTTTCTTCTTCTAAACCTTGTTTAGCTGACTGTGAACATACATTGAACAACTAGCCATGATCAGAAGCTAAAAAAAAATACAGACATGTGGTACAGAATGTAGATATTGCCATCTGGGAAAGGCATTACCTTCTTTTAAGATCACACAAGTAATTGCACTACAATAAGCAGTTATGTACAGTATGGTACACCACAGCAAGCGCAGGAATAGCAAAGGGGAGGTTGCTGACAACTGTGCAACAAAAGTGTTACGATGAAAACACAGGCCTCACAGTCTGGAGGCAGAAAAGTGCGACCGGGTTTCAGTTTAAGGCGAGTTGGCTGGGCTGAGGGCGGGGCTGAGGGTGGGGCTGGAGGCATCCGAGCGGCTGTAGTCGCTGAGGGAGCTGGGACGTGTGGTGCCGCCGCCGTGGGGCCTCTTCAGCATGCCGGGCTGGAAATCTGAGTGGCGCCGGGCGTGCTTCATCAGGTGGTCGCTGCGCATGAAGCGCTTGTCGCAGAGAGGGCAGCCGAACTTCTTCTCCCCCGTGTGGGTGCGATAGTGGCGGGCGAGCTCATCGGAGCGGGCGAACTTCTTACTGCAGTCGGGCCAGGTACATGGGAAAGGTCGCTCTCCTGCAAAACGCAGACAAGGGGGAGGGAGATGTCAATCACACAAGCAGACAGCTGCATGTCATTTAGCACAACATCCACACTTTCGTTTAACCGCTTATCATTTTCAGGTCACAGATGCCGCCGTTCAAGTAGCCGTTGTTTCCCATCGTTTTCAATCTGATACGTCCTCTCTGCTTGTATCTCCGACTCCTACACGTTTCTACCTGCAGTTCCCGGCCTCACCAACCGCCCCGTTGTTTGTTGTTCTCTGATTTCTATCTGCTATCTGTCTGCCATGCCTCAGCCTGGTTCTGCCAGAAGTTTCCCTTTTACTCAAATTTGAATTTATGCTTCACACGGTCACCAAAGAGCTTGCTCAAAGGGAATCTTTAGATTTGTTGGGTTACTTTCTATGTTATAATTTTGCAGTGTTTCACCTTACTACGTGAAGCGCCTTGAAATGACGCATGTTGTAAGTTAGTGAGATAGCGGTGAGCTAGGGTTCAAGTTTCTTCTTTTTTTATTTATCTACGGAATAAAACAAGGCAGCAGAACCTCAACAAGAAAGCAAAGTGTGCAGATGAGACTAAGAAACCCTCAGATTACAGAAGAAACCTCACTTCAGTATGCACTATACAAAAGTTATGAATCCACAGAAACAAGGAACAACCACAGGCTTAAAAAAAACAAACTAAACAACTCCAATAATTCAGCGCGGGTGTACTGTGCGTGCTTCGTGTATGCTTATTGTGTGTGAGCATGTAGTGACGCACACTTGTGCTCATTCAAGCCCTTATGAAAGAGAGCCAGAAAGATCAATTCCAGTCAGATATGATCAGTGGGGATAGCTCAGTTTGGTTCAGGAGGCCGGTCCCGAGCCTATATTTGAAAGTCATGAGGGGAGTTCTCACTCATCGAATATCATGTTTGCTTTTAGTTTTCGACAAAGCTATCCGATTGTTATGCCGTGCTGGAGTGCAGACATTTCAAATCCATTTGCGATTTCCAGTTGCATTAAAATGCAACAGTAACTTTGGCAAAAGGGAAAGTGGACGATTGCATTATGATGGATTTCCAATCTAAAGCCTGTCTCCACAAGCCGATTTTAAAACTGTAGCGAAATAAATGGGAGCCAATGGCTGCCTGAGAGGTTTAAACAACACAATCAAAATTCAATTCTAATTCTTAAAAGTACTTTGTCAAACTATTCTTGCGAGAATAGCGGGCAAGAATGTAAAATATATGCGATTCGTGGTAAATGGGCCGTCCCAAAACCAGCGTAAATGTTTACATTTTTGGTGCTGTTTCACGTTTCATTACTTATACACACTAAGCCTCTTCAGATGTACTAAAAGCATCCGTGAGAAGCGACGACTCTTCTTGATGTATACATATTTCCGAACTCTGATGACAAAACTTGTGATTGCCACGTAGTGAGCAGCTCACCACAGTGAGAGCAGTGACTCATTCAGGAACTATGACTATTCAGGAGGCTATTCCTATGTTTGTGATAAACCACTAAGGGTTAAGATATTTAAAAAGAAATCTTCAAAATATTAAGAAATATGGGACAAAAAAAAATAAGCTTCAGCAATGGGACGTGTGGTAAATCACCTAGAAATTGGCACAGCGCTGGAGTCACAGACACAGTTTAATTATCTGAGCTCCAGATGCTAATCACGCTCACAATGGTTACGCCAGCCCATTTTCCAACATGCAACTATCTGTGACTCGGCACATGGGAAATTACACCCTCCCCCTTCCATCAGGCAATAAAAGTGGGCTTTGACACAAATCTACTCAACGCCAGATGGTACTAAATATCGCCATATATCTTGTGTTTTTCCGTCCATTATGATGTGGAAACAGCGCATTGAACCTAAATGCAGCGTTCTGCGTCTACTGGCCAGTGTGTGTAACACTGTATTCCATTTAGTTCCATTTCAGTGAGTTTCTGCCTAACAATAGCAACATCCAGCGGTCTAATTTTACCAGCGTGGCCTTAAAGAAACTACAGCACGGGGCAGGACGTAATCTTTTAATGTTTAGGTTCTGTTCTGCGAATAATAAATCATCACGTGCACGCCCTCGCCAGGGATTTGAGGAATGAAAGGGAAAAGATGGGTGAGATACATGAATGTTTATAGGTGGCGCATAAGAACAGACCTGCCAAATGCTTTCTTTGTTCTGTGGTTTCCCTCTGGGCCACAATGGAAACAGTGCTGTTCGGCATCAAACACTCATATGCTACCTGATGCCAGAGAGTCTCAAAAACAAGAACTCCGTGCACTACTGGTCTCGATCCCTCCCCCCCATACTGCATGGTTACAAAACATGCAGACAGACAGAGCAAGTCTAGACAGTCCGGTCTATGTTCCTGCCTCTGACGCCTCACCTCAACTCCAGACAAACTCAGTCGGCCCTGCCCACTACAGTTCCTGTGGGCTCGTACAGGCTTCAGTGTATTTAAACTCTGTAACTGACATCTATACATTTGCATATGCACACTGAACACAGTCCTGCTGCCTTTTCTGCACACTGTCTGCCCTGTTTTCACTCTTGTGGTAGAGCTTACATATAAAGAAACACATCCCTCTGTCCTGCACAAAGTTAGGAGTTAAAATTCATAAAGATGAGGCGGCTGTGGTTGCTTACAAACCTTGGATTACACCTTGCTTGAAGCAGGGCTCCAACAGGGAAAAGGGAAGCAGTGTAAATCTCACATCACTTTTTTTGATTGAAGTGACTTATGATAGACTGATTTCATACCATATTAGCAAGAGAAGGAGCCTGTGCTGCCACCTGGCACTGCAAAATGAGTTATTGGCTTAAAAGTAGAGCTAAGCTGTGCAGGCTGCTTAAGGCTCAATAACCAGCGTAACGGATCCAACAACATTAATATTTAACCAGACACGAGAGAGCAGAGCTAGGCTGAGATATCCAGTCTAACTGCCCGGATACAGTAACGCAGTCATAGTGGAAGCATCAGGTATCCAACAGCAACTCTCTGGGACGAGTGACATTATTTGGAGCTCCGTGACATCTCAGAAAATGCAGAATTAACAAACATGTTGCTCGTTCTGACCCCGCACTGAACAGCTTTTGGCATTTAAGCCAACGACATGAATATTTATAAAAATCCTGCTGCTTTAATGTCAGCTTTGCAAAGATTCGCTTGCATAAAAGGAAAAGCATGCAATGTCCCAATTAATTGTTGTGTTTGTTTCATAACATGAGGACTGGGATTTCCATTAAGGCGGTAAAGATTTTTCTGGTAACAATGAGGAGGTTTAGGGAACAAAAGCTTTGATCCTGAGTGGAAATGATGATAGGGGCTATTACCTTCACTCCCCACCATATTTCAATAGACTGCAGCTATTACTCAGCATCTCTGCTGGGAGAAGAATGCGACGAGCTACGTGACTTTCCTTCCTATCTAGTTCCAGTGTCGTCCGTGACGCCAAGCCCCACCGATTGGTTATCCCATCTCTGGCACTGAGCCATATCCAGGGTGTGGTTTGTCTTTCTCAGAATGTGTCAGTTGCAGAGGGCGAGGGCAAAGGGTGGAGGGGGTAATGAGGGAAGCTTTTCCTTAACGAACACAGTGACCCAGTTACCCATAAAGTGAGTTACATCATGCACGCAAACTGTACCTCTACTAAGCACTAGTGTCCCCCCTCCAAGGCAATGTGATTATGTCACAGGTACTCTTGTTATATAACTGTTCTCTCCGAGTCCACTGGGTCAGTAAATAAACAGCTCATCTCTGCTCCTCTCCCTCCATCCTCCTCTCATTCATATCTGAGAAATGCTGCCCCTTCGTGCTCCGTGGAAACGGTTAAAAGAAATGGAGTCCGTCTCCCTGGTGTAAGGGATGCTGTCTGCAAAGGCTGAGATCAAATCTCTTTTTGACGTGAGCAGCAGCACAAGAACTCAACTCGATCACCTGCTCCAACAGCAGCTACCAGCATTTCAACCAAGAGTAGATAACATTCCTTGTGTGTCCTCAGGCACGGGCAAAACTCACACAGTGTACACCTGAAACCTCCATGAGAGCCTGCCATAAGAGAGCCAGAGTAAATAGCTCTGCAGGGTGAGAGGGGAAAAACACAGGTCTTGCGGATACATCAGAGATCACCTTGAACTTAACTTCGCTCTGCCTGCACAGTGAGAACCGGAGCAGGAAATACATTTTGCAGAGCTCAGAACAAAAACAAAGGTGCACTTTAAACCTGTGTAGACCTTTAGAAGCAAACAACTGGAGAAGGGAAAGTAAAACTGGACTGAGACTGTAGAACACAGCTCATTAGAGTTGGAGCTACCTCACTTCAGTGCTGACTTAGTGGCACAGCCAGCTTGGCAACATGAAATGAGAGGGACACCACTAACTCCAATGGTAGGGCTCAGTACAATCCTATAATTTGGTTGCATGTTTACAACAGACTATGACCTGTAACCAACCAGGAGCCAGCTCCTCTGCCAGCAGACAACCATTGATGGGATTTTGGGTAATACTAAAATGACTGCGGAGTCCCTCATCAGCATAAACCGCTGGAGCAGACGGGGTTAACACAGCCGTAAGCCAGCCTCTCCCTCCACACGCACCCTCACATGCCAAGATGGCATAAACGCTAACATGTGTGTCGAACAATAAATATACATTAAGGCTTCTGCTGCTCTTCCTTTCATTGTTCACAGAGAAGTATACGCAGCCTTCGCTCCTGCAAAAATAACAACAAAGGCCCACAAAGTTCTGCGGTGTGCACAAAGACACCGCCCGATTTGAAACATATCTGAGATCAGAACAACTGTTTATGTGGCGGAAAAATTAGCTCAGTGGGAGAGAAGAAAAACTACCAAGAAAATCTGTCAAGTGAAAAGATGTTTTCTCAGAAGCTTCATTCAGAGTTTTGCTGCAAACATGAAGAAGTCGTCTCTGCAGGAGCAACAAAGAGCCCATTGGGTTGGGTCGGCTGCTCGTGATGAGAATTGGCTCGAGCTTGCCATGAGAAAGCTCCGAA